CTAGTACCTACAAGTGGTTTGCCTCACTGAATATGATTTTTGGTAAAGCTCCTGACACAGTGCTTGGTTTTTCTCCTGTAGCTGCCCCATTACCTATGAGTGAGTCAAGCTCTAAAGCCCTCAAATATAATTTCAGACGGGCTGATGTGCTTATGGCCCTCCAGCAATGATGGTCACTCATCTCCAACCTCTCGCCAGAGGGGATTTAAAGCTCCTCGGGCCTATCGTGGCCAGCATTACCATGTGCTGTCTGTCTGCACCGGGTGCTCCTCCACCCTGATGCTCATTGGCCGGCTGCTACTTTCTGGGCTGGAGCTTTGTGCGGTTGACAGCGCAGCTCAATCTTCTCCCAGGATGAACAGGGACCTCATCTGCTCATTACAGGAGCTTGTAATGTCCAACCTGTCAGAGATATGAGCTCCCTATAGTTCTATCTATCTTTATTTGTCTCCATTTGTATTTTTACAAGTCCATGAAGAGTGATAATAATATTTTAAGGGGCAATACTTTCTTGACTCCATTTGAACGATGCACATAATGCATTGTTATCTACTTATAGTGTTATAATTATAGTTATAAGCACTCATAAATATTCATAAGACTAAGCATGACACATGACAAATAATTGACTTACAGTATAAGGTCAAGAAACATTACATGACTTCACTTAGAAAATAATGACCACTTAGAGAAACTTCTAACATTATAACAATGATCATAATGCATTGTAAACATTTTACAATTTATGACAAGAATACAACATATTGTACACTATGATCTATAAATGTCCATAAGGGACACTTTTTACTGTATAATGATATTTGACCTTATAACCCATTATAACATTTTAAATAAATGATTGTTGCCATAAAGCATTATGAATGTATACATGTATTTATTTACAAGTGCTTATCATTATGATTATGTAGAGCTATATGCATGGAAGCATTATAATGATGTTGATAGTGCTTTAGATATGTGTCATAGTGTTACCAACACTTTCCCCGGCAAACATCCATAGTGTTTCACTTACAAAATGTCAGAGAAACTGATAGCGGTGCTGTTTATGTGGCAGCACTGGATATACAACAGACAGAGGTCACTGGAGAGGATGACAGACTGTGTCGGTGGATATAGTTTACTGCACAAGGCACCTCAGGTAAATACTACAGCTTTGTCATAGACTTGTATACATTTAGTGGTGGGCAAAAATAATAATCCTATAACTAATAATACTATAAGATTGAAATCTTATTATCAGTATGTTACCATATTATGTAACTATTTAAAACCAACATATTTATATGTACATTTACACATATACAAGATAATTTCCTTGGTTGAACTTGTTATTCAATTAGATATCAGAACTATGAACCCCAATATCTCTACATGGAAATGTTGACACAAAATTAAATTAGATGACAAATGGTATTATTGAACTCAATTTTGTGAGTTTTTAGCTTCTGTCCTCTCGCATACCACAGAGAAGGTTATGTGCAGCAGAATCCATACAATAGTCAAAAACAATAAGTTGAAATCTAGTTCTTGCCTGGACCCATTGATATTGTATGAATAATTTTAAAAGTGCCTCTATTTTAATTTGAGACCTGGGTGATGGTGTGCGTTTACCAAGTGAGCGGTTGATGCAGCAGCTTCATTTTAAGACATTGTGGACCACAATGACAGTGGTTGACTTAATTTGTCAATGGTTTGCTGGCTCTGTGCTTTGAGGAGGTAATTAGTAGTGGATTTTCCAATGAGGCTGTTTGGTGATTGTGGTAGCAAAGACTGCACTATTATACAAAACATTACAAACATTTAAATCCCTAAATTTACTATGGAGGGAGAATGAAAAATGGCCTCAGCTCCTATTTGTTTCCAGAAAAGGGTACTCAAACAAAAAAGTCACCTTACTACGTATTATATTTAAAAAAATACATATTTTTTGGAATCCCCGCAGCAATATGTGTTTCATTGATCTTTGTCTTTAGTGGTTTGTTTCTAAGCTCAAAGTAGAGAAGGCTCTGCCTGTAATGTCCCCGAGACAGCCATGAATCTTCCGGGAGAAGCAGACCCAAAGAGCACTACCACACATTAGGGGAATTAATATTGATTTAAAAACAAATTTGACATGGTTTTTTAAATCGACTTGAAAAATACGTTGCTTAAAAGAGTCAGGGGTTTGTAGTCTGTCAATGGAGCGGAGAAACCCTTGTTCTTGTTTTATGGTTTGATAAGATTCCATTAATGGCTTCTTCCACCTTGAGAAAAAAAAGCCCTTTGAATGGTGTGTGTCACTGCGTGTGCAAATGTGTGGGTATGTTCATGTGCGTAAATACTCACGTGATTCTCTGTGCCGAGTACTGCCTCATTCAGAACTGAAGGGTAATAACTAATTCCTTTAAGTGTGTGCGTGCATGGACTGTTGAATTGCAGTCTAATGACTTTTTCGGTATGAGCACCTGAAAGAAATGCAACTCAAATAATTGAACCACCTGTTTTTACATTTAAAATGATTATTTGTTGTTGCGTCATGATGGACTATGCAGATTTCACCTTCACATTTCACTTTGAAAAGTAGTTTAAAGTGTTGTTTGAAACTAAGCAGGATACCTTATCCCTCAGAGGGCGGCCAAAATAAGACACCAGGCAATCTCGTCAGAGTGCTCGGCTGGCATGGCCGCAGCTTCTGGGGCCAGGTCTGCCTGCTCGGTGGGCCGGGGAAGGGAAACTGCCTCTGGCCGCCTGCCCAGCCTCCAGCTCGACAGAGACGGATCGTATGGAAGCCAGTGTTTTGTTTTCCTAATTGCTGCACATCAACACATCAATCCCTCAGACATAATATTTCATATCAGAGAAAAGGGATTGTTACCCTGGCAAATATGAGAATGTTTGGGTGGTACCCATTCAATCACGAGATCTCTGATTTAGACCATGTGGTTCATTTAATCGAGTTTGATCTAATTGTTGTGGGTACTGAAGTGTGTTGGGATCGAATCTCAAACACCTTAATCACTGGAAGGCCACACTAGTTTAGTTTAATTGGTTCATAACATCAATCACAATACAAACAATTACTTATTTTGAACAGAGCCAACCGTTCAGCCCACAAATAGCAGGAGTCAGGAGACGGGCCATACCTTTTTATAAATCATCATTTACTTCCTTATTGCATAATAACAACTTGCATTTTGTGATCACGTTTTCTATTCTGTGTGAGTGTACTGTAGGTTGCACCCAGCTTTACTGGTTGTTTACTGACACATAAGTTAGCTTTGTTCCACACCTTGATTTAGTCTTACATATGAATTATTCTCACACCTGACCAATACCATAAGCAATTGATTCAGATATTCATGCTTTGCTTTATCTCACGTCTAACTGTGGTATATAACCACTAGTGTGCTAGTGTTCTCTGTACCTGGGAAAAAAGCCAGACTTGCCACTTCATGTTAGATGGTTATGTCTTGTTTTGTCACATTGAGAAAACCAATTAGCAACATCATGGAGTATGGGACAAACAAAAATACCCTCTGCATCTCAAAATGTTTAATAAAAAAAACAATTTCTGAAGTTACCTGATTGTGATGTGATCTAGTTGACCTGTGACAGTCTGCGTAAGCATCATCAGTAAGCATATTTTTATTGCTGGTCAGATGTCACACAATTGGACATTTATTTGCCACAATATGTTTGACCAGACTTTACTCAAGCCTGCAAAGAGCCTTGGTAAGGGAGATAAATTGATGTATATTCACAAGTATTTATACCACACGCAAGCAATGTAACCACAGACCCTTCAGGCCACCTGTGAAAAGTTTCGTTTTTTAGATATTCAGATGTATACTGGAAATCAACATTCACATTAACATACTGCTCGTATTTAAAGCGCATATATCGGGCCTTACTGAGAAAAAAAACAACAGTAACCTTAAAGCAATCTCTTTAAATTCTTAGTCCTCTTAAAAGTGTGTGTAATTACTTGAGTAAATGATTGATTGAAGTTAATTTAGAGAACCCCAAATAACAGCAATTACCTAAACACACAGCCTTAGTAACTGCAGCTTTTAAGCCTATCATTGCATTAAAAAAACTCAACAACAACAAGCTTTTCCTGGGTTTTCTAGCAAAGAACTATACAAAATGGTTTTATGGTGTGAAAGTGGGTCTTGCGGTGTCTTAGGGCAGCAGGATAAGTGGTAATCCTTCGGGAGGTTCTCTGTTGTAGACTACAGATCCTATAGAGCCCGGGCAGCTGACTCAGCCTTCACAATTCTTCCAGGGGGAGCAGACTAATCTTCCAAGTACCTTCCTCTGTCAGCGGTCCAGGCATCTGTCGTTCTGCCTCTGGATGCTGCTTTTCAAACATCCCAGTCCCTTATGGCATCCCATACCCATTTCTCTTAGTTGTTTTTTTGTGGTTTGAAAGTAAGTTTAATGGCTCTTACCTGATTTCATTTAGCTAATGCCCCACAGTGCTTGATATATTGCTGCTTTCAAGTGAAAATATTGAAATTCCTGCATGCACTTTAGCTTGGGGATTAAGGTCCTTCATGGTTACAAAATGTCTCCGGCCTGTTCTGTTTCGGATAGCCTTCACTAACCCGTTGGATTAAGTCACACATGTGTTGTTGCCAAGCTGTAAAAAAAAGGCTGCTTGTGTTGGTTCCAAAGGAGTTAACATTGTGGAGATACAAGATGTTCACCCAGCAGTGAGGATCTGCTGGAGTTTGCATTTATTTAATTTGATCCTGACTGCCAGACTGCAGCTGGCTAGCTAAGTGCTTTGCCATTAGGGCTCTGTTCTGTGTTTAATTCTCCTACATTGCCGAGGCTTATGGGTAAAGCTCCAGGCTGCGTACTGCCTGCTCTACAGTAAATGTTTACCATCCTGTGTGCTACCTTGAGAATAATCAAACTGCTCCTCTGTGATCTTCTTGATTAAACTAATGGCTCGGGTAATCTGACCTTTTATTCCCTATGTTTTCCATCTGCAGATTTATAATGAGAAGAAGAGCCAGTTTGAAATCAAGAGGAACAACCCCAAGGAATTGGTGGAGCGAGTTGCACGGGACATCTCCAAGCTTCTCATCAGTAAGAGGAAAGCCCTGGAGGTAAGAGGACCATGCACCTGCGTACAAACATGCACTATAAAATATGTAAAACAAAAGCAATATATGTGAACTCGCACAATCTGAATCAACCATATCATATTCTTTATTTTGTAATCCTCTAGTCTTTTTCTTCTTAGTAGATATATATTTATAATGAATCAAAGTGAATGTCCTTTCCATGGGGTTAGACATTTTGGTGATGGAAAGAGATCAAGTTTATTCAGTATTTTAAAATCTGCCATGAAGTGGTGGAGTTCATCTTTTCATATAAACCTTTTAGCTAATTATTCCAGTTTATATTCTTTTTACTGTTCTCTCGTTTGCAGTTTTCTTTCCTTTGTTTAACATTGCGAGCGTACATTCTGAGATACAGTGTGTATGATGCATGAGAAGAAGGGTTATTTCAGAGGTTATCATTTCAATGTCCTGCATTTTGGGATACAATTATTACCACCGTTCTGCTCAGACAGCCCTGTGATTAGTTAAAATTAGTTTCGCTCTCACAGTGGGGAACCTCTAACCCTTTGGAGAAGAGGAGATGGGAGAGGGGGGGGGGGGTCTAGAAGAAGGGAAGCTGATTGACAAGCAGGAAAATTAGAAAAGTATACACAATCCATTTTTAATTTTTAAAAGCCAGAGATAAAGAAAAGAAGCATAAGTGTAGAGAAATTTCAAAATCCAAATATTTTCCCCTGTCTCAAAGTTGAGGCATATATTTTCCAAGTTAGCTGATTACTTTTTGTTATTATGGCTATTTAAAGCTCAATCTGTTCTATTTGATTACCATAGCAGCGAGACACACAATCGTTTTAATCAGTTTTCATGATTCACAATCATCTACACCGTCATATACATAAAGAGCTGCACACATACACACACAATGATTTCTTTATATGACTGTGATCATCTAAATCGTATTGTGCATGAGCTGCTGCACACACAAGCTGGAATTGATGAGGTTAAAATGTGCTTTTAAGACGTATCATATTTCGAACACTGCCCTACATGTATCACATTTTCTCCTTAACTTACACATAGACGTTCAAACACATTAGAAAAGCATTAACGTCACAACAATCTGTCACTCAGTATTTATCATTTGAAACTCATGCACATTATTCGAAGCTTCCAATACCCTGTTTCTGTTTCTGACCAGATATGGTAACTCAGGGCGAAAGCTTTGACGGTTTCTTACACATTTGAGAAGGTTGTAAAGGGGCAGAAGTGTCAATCTTTTAAAAGCATGAGGTCTTGCGGGATGAAGCACTCTCATGGAAAGGAGCGGAATTCCCTCAAAGGTACGGTTAATTCAACTGCTTGTGTCCTTAAGGGAGGAAGGCTTCACTGTGCGTATCCCGTGTTCATGTTTATGAATGGGTTTTGGAATGGCATTGACCATCCACCATCGCTTCTTCTTGGGAAGAAGGGGACAGAACTATATCCCCACCTTCACATCAATGACACACACACACACACACACACACACACACACACACACACACACACACACACACACACACACACACACACACACACACACACACACACACACACAGCAACTCACCCACACCCTAACCTCCACAGGCCACGCTGTCACCTCACATCCTGTCCGGGAGATTCACTCAGGAGGGAGGAAATGAGGTGAAAAAAGAGAAGAGCTGGAATGAGAACGACTCCCCGGGGCGTGGAGAAATCAAGAAAATGATGTTCAGAAATTCATAGATTTAAAAATGAGAAGCAAGCGGGAGGGAAGTAGCGAGGGAGCCGGAGGTTGGTTGGAGGGAGAGAAAGAGTTTGGTGAAAAAATCTAAAGAAGAGGCGAGAAAAAAGGAAGATGATCAAATTGAAAAAGGGAACCAACAATGCAAAGAAATAGGATTCATTATGTTGTTAAATAAATCAAACCTTAACCAACATGCGACGAGTTAATACTTTAGTTTTTTTCCGGCCGGTTAGGAATTATATTTTTCCACTAAAACAAAAAAATTGTAATAGTGTGGGCAGAAACATTCATGTGGACTTATTATTCATACCGGGGAGAAAGAGTCCTAATACAGTTTGTAGATAAGAAGGTCTCAAGCTCCGCTCAGCACAGTATTGACTGCGTTTTATATTCCAGTCTGTGTCTACCCCCCTTTAATGGTTATTTAGTCCAAAATATTTTCTGCCACTCATTTTTTTCTTTTAAGGGGAGTTGTGTGTGTTTGTATGCACAGGCATGTGTGCACATGCAAGACGAAATTATTCTTCTGCAACCTATTTAAATACAGCTCGGGGTGATTTGTTGTAATTCATGTTTATATTACTAATGAGAAAATACACATTGACTCTAAATATTCAGTTACCGATATAAAGTGGGCAAGGGAGCCTTTCTTAGTGCTCTGGATTTAGTTTAGCCTTAATTCTTAAATTAGCAACACATTTTAATCGTTGAAATGCTCTGCTTAGTTGGAAAGGGGAGAAAAATAATAATCCAGTAGGTGAGCGTCCTTTTGTTCACCTCACTCTGTAGCCAGGGTTTTTTACTGCAATGCAACAGTCGGCATAGACAGCTTAGTCTTTATGTATCATTCATCTCAGCTGTGATATCCACATTTTGTGTAACTAATTCAGCAATGTATGCTTACTTTCCCCTTAAAGAATAAATAGGTATCTAAATATCTATCAAATATAACTCAAAGTGATATTTACTTGATGTTTTCCTCACCCATAAACCGAAGCTGCATAAGCTGACTTACTTTTTGTCTAAAGCCTCCCCGATGTTTATTCTCTCCCTTCATTTTCCTTAATCTCCTCCACTCCATGTCCCCGTCTGCTCTCTCTTTCTTGCCTGTGGCTCCAGCCGTCTTCTCAAACAATGATCCGATTCTCAGGTCGCTGCCAAAATTAAAATGTAACACAAACCACGATAGGCTGACCGGCTTGCATGTTGCCGCTGGACACTTTTCCTAAATGTATTTATTTTCATAGGCAGGTTGAAATATGATTTCAGCTGACACCTAAACTCATCATTTTTATTTGAGGATTGTTGAGCCATTAAGGTTTGAATTAAGTGAGTTACATACAGCGACTTATCCGCTGTATTATTTTTTTCTGTTCTTTGCAAGTTCCATTATACCCATCTGTTGCTTGAGGCTGTTTTGAGCAGGAAATAAAGTGATCTTCATTCAGAAGTCAGTATAATGTTCTATTGCCATATACAGTCTTTCTGAGGACTATTTGCTATGATCTTTACAGGAATAATTAACACATTTTACACAGTGTTTGTCAGTTTAACAGTAAAATAAAAAGTTGAATGTATCTATAAGCAAGGATACAATTCAACAAATACGAAGAATAAAGGTTATGATGATAAATTAATGATAAATGTATTAAAAAAAAATATATATATTCCTAGAATACTATTTAGCCAATTCTTAGGAAATAAAGCGTCTTACCTCTTTTCTCCCCAGACATGTCAAATGCAGTATTTTATACAAGTATCTTATAATCCATACTCCCTTCTGTTAAAAAGCCTGAATAATCCTTGCAAACATAAACTGATTTAATTTCCCCTCCGGCCACTAGACGAAGTATAAAATAATGTGATCACACTCACTGGAAAAAAAACTTGAAAATTGTTTTAACCCTCTTGCCTAAATATCTTAGATCATGTTGCTGGAGAAGTAACAATCACATACACCGGTAAATGTTCCTCTTTGTACTTTCACTGTGTCTTCCTATATAAACATGTGAGCAGAGCAACAGGCTCACACCTGCGCAATGATACAAGACTGTCTCTCTGACAGGCTTTTTATCCAGAGCAGCCAGAGAGAACACAGCCCGTCATGTTACCTGTCATGGGTATAAAGCCAAACGGGTGAGATAGACCTCCCAGACTGATCTGAGCCCTCATCCCTCCCTGTGCTCCTCTTTGTGAAGCTCTATATGATCGCCACAGAGGCCTGAGATCAGTTGGGCCCCTCTGAACTATCTGAGTCTTCACAGCATCCTGTACCCTGTCAGTCAGAGCCGGGCAGAGCCCGGCTGTCAGTCAGGCTGCTGCTGGGATCTGACTGCCTCCGGGAGGGAAGTGGAGGCCAGGAGCTACAGACAGAGATCATGTTACATTCCCATCAGCTGCTGCACAGCAAAACTACTATTGTCAAAGCTCTTCAGTTCTGATTTCACAGAGTGAACTGGTGAAATAGCGAGGGGGAAAAGGTTGGTCTAATCCAATTACACAGATTTCAATACAATTCCAATACCACTTAAAGGCTGAAGCATGGCTGCCTCTCGGCTCCTTGATGGGTACACACCCAGCCCGCTACTGGGTTGTTTATTGAGAACATTGCCGGATCAAACCATGGAAATTAGGCAGGAATAGGGAGAGGCGATGCCTGATTGAATATTCTTTCATTATTACAGCCAAGAAAAAATTCTGAGCAACACAAGTGAGTGGTTAACCCTCAATGGCAGGAAACAGATACAATAAAAGGGAAAGTCACTTAGTCGAAGAAGTGTGCATGCTGAATTCTGTGGGTCACTCCAGCATTATGGAAATAAAAGATTGACCCATGTAAATAGATATATGGAAAATTCACCACACAGTGACAGCTGCTGTGGAGGAAATATCTTAGAAGCTAAATGGATGTGTAGTTTAGTCACACATAGGATGTTGACAGCTAAATTGTCCAGCTACATCCCTAATATCTTAAGAAATGTCACAGCATCCATACGTGTTTTTAGTGTTGTTTCTCTTGAAAAACGTTTTATATCACTTTGATACAACATCAAAGTGGCAAGAGAGAAGAGTGAGAGCTAGAGAGTGAAGATGGGGTGCGGCGTCAGAAAGGATAAAAAAGTTAAAAAGTAAAATGTTATTTTCTGATGGTTTCACCACTGTTTTGTTCTATAGCAAGTATTTTCTTTACAAAGTAAACTGGGCTTCCTCTGAAGTTACATAAACAAACCTGCCACTCTCTATTAGAGGTTATTCAAAACTACAAGAGACATGACAA